TGGCATTTTCTGTGTATGTGGTACTAAGGACTCGAACCCAGAGCTTCATACATGCTAGGCAAACACTCTACTACTAAGTCACATTCCCAGCCCCATTTTTTTTGTCATATATATATAAATACTGGTGACTCACACCTATAATCCCAGCTACTCAGGAGGCTGAGATCGGGGATCACATTTCAAAGCCAGCCTGGGCAGAAGAGTCCATGAGACTGTTATCTCCAATAAACCACTCAGAAAAAGCTGGAAGTGGTGCTGTGGCTCAAGCTGTAGAGCAAAAGGAACCCAGAGACAGCAGCCAGGCCCAGAGTTCAAGTCCCAGAACTGCAGGGGGACAAATGTGCCAGGCAGCCAGGTACTTGGGGCACATTCCTGTCATCCTAGCTTAGTCAGGAGGCTGAGATCTGAGGATGATGGTTCACAGTCAGCCCAGGCAGGGAAATCCATGAGACTCTTATCTCCAATTAACCAACAGCAACAACAACAACAACAAAAAAAAGGAGGTGAAGCTGTAGCTCAAGTGGTAGAATGCCAGCTTTGAAGGGAAAAGCCAAGTGAGAGCATCAGGCCCTGAGTTCAAGCTGTCCCAGTACCAGCATGCATGCGCGCTCGCACACACGCACGTGCATACGCGCACGTGCACACACACACACACACACACACACTATGGCAGAGGCAGACAGTCTTTGATGTCTTCAGGGCAACAGACCCCCCTCTCCCCTCCCCCAGGGCGTGCTGAAGAGCCCTCCTGGGGTTGGGGGCTGTGGGGGAGAAGCCTGGCCTGACCTTGGCCCTGCTTTCCTAGGGGGGGGAGGGACTCCAGGAAGGAGCCACCAGCCCAGAGCCACATTTCGCCACGGCGAAGCTGCACCTACCCACTGCCCCACTTGGGCTGCTTCGGTTCCTGGCAGCCAGAGCCCTGGCCACTTCCTGGCAGTGGGGGTGGGAGGGTGCGGGGTGGGGTGGGGTGTTTCTGGGTGGGGCAGGCATCAGGAAGAATCAGGGACCCACCTACCTTGGGGGGGCAGAGCAGGTTCTGAAGGCCCCCCTCCCCATCAGGTGCCCTGTGGTCTACAGCACCCATACTGCCCAAGCACAGACTCACCCGGGGCGGGGCGTGCGGGCCTGAGTCCCACAGTCACCCCCCCTCCATGAGCTGGGCTACCCTGAGCTCCTCTCTGAACCCCGGTTTCTGCCTCTGTGAAACGGGAGGCTCCAGCGAGCGGGCTGCCACACCGAAGGCCTGGGGACAGAGGAGCAGCAAAGCGAGGCGCAGAGATCCCACCTTGGCCATCGTGCCCGGGATGTGGCCGGTGGGCACATGGCAGCCTGCCCCACCCCCGTCCCCCCGTACTTCAAGCTCGTGGAGGGCAGGGACTCTGCGGGTACCCCAGCACCCCCAGGGGCGCATCCGGAGCCTGTGGCAGGCCTAGCAGCAGAGTGACCAGCCCCCCCCACCCGAGCCCCCCGCCCCACCCACCCGAGCCTCCCACAGCCTTGGCCCCGCCGCAGAACACTGTGTCTGGTGATGAGTTTGGGAGCTCTCCCCCCCGCCTCCTCCCCTCCACAAGCCCAGCTTTGCTGGGCAGGACTCCGGGGTGTGGCTCAGAGTGGAGGTGAGCAGACAAATGGAGGAGATGGACGAAATACCCATGTGCCTGGGCAGCCCAGCCAGGCCAGGCCCCCTCGATCCCCCCCCTTCCATAGGGCGCCCAAGGGGACGGAGAGGCCCAGGCCTGGCCCCCGACGGGTCCCCCCCAAGGACCATGCCCGGCAGAGCCGGCACCATATTCCAGCTCAGCCCGCTCCTAGCCACGATGCCCGGAGGAGCCGCTGCTCTCCAGGGATCCCCCAGTTTCCCACGGGTCAAAGAGACCCCTGCCCACCCCCTGGGGTGCTTGGAGGACACCCCGCCTTCCCCCCTGTGTAGACCCCACTCAAGCCGAGCCCTGAATGCCAGGACAGGCTCCCTGCTACCGGGCTGTCAGAGTTTGACCCCTGGCTGCCAGCCAAGCCTGGCGGGCTGTGGCTGCTCCCCCAATCCCTGGGGCAACCCCCAGGAAGGCCCCGGACCCAGACCCTGCCCCACCCCTGCCAAGAGGTGGGACCCTGGGCCTTCAAGCCCAGATCCCATCCAGAGACTGAAGGGTGGGGGGCCGTGGCTGAGAGGGGGAACCCCCAGATAATAAATCTGTCTGTGGTGTGTAGGGGGAAATGCTTGGCTCTCCACTCTCCATTTCTATCTTTACTGCCCAGAAAACACCCCAAACCCAGATGAACAGTATTCTAATTATTATTTGTTTTTTAGTATTGATTGCATTTGAGAACAATGCGTATCCTCAATCTAATTTTCTTCGTTGTGGTTGGCACCAGGGTTTTTGTGGGGTTTTTTTTGGCCAGTCCTGGGGCTTGAACTCTCGGCCTGGGCACTGCCCCTGAGCTTCTTTTGTTCAAGGCTAACGCTCTACCATTTGAGCCACAGCACCACAGCCGGCTTTTTCTGTGTGTGTGGTGATAAGGACCCAAACCCAGGGCTTCATACATGCCAGGCAAGCGCTCTACCTCTAAGCCACTTTTCCAGCCCGACACTAGGGCTTGAACTCACAGCCCCGCACTGGCCAGGCAGGCGCTGTCCACTGAGTCACACCCCCCGACCTTCCCTAAATCTAATATTGTAGTGGTTTGTCACGACCAATGCAGTCTTCTCCATCTGATTGAAAACCAAAACCAGAACTGCTGATGGCAGCTGGGCGCGCTGGCGCACGCTCGTAATGTCAGCCACCGCGGAGGCTGAGGCAGCAGGGTCGAGATTGTGGGTAGCCAGCGGGGCTAACACAGGCCAGCCTCGTGGCAAAGACGCAGAATCAGAACACAAGCCAAGAATGGCACGTTCACAGCTCCATCATATAGGTGAGCTCAAGACAAACCTCATGCCTGCCGGGCGCCGGTGGCTCACGCCTGTCATCCTAGCTACTCAGGAGGCTGAGATCTGAGGATCACGGTGCAGAGCCAGCCCAGGCTGGAAAGCCCCTGAGACTCCTATCTCCAATGAACCACCAGAAAACCGGAAGTGGTGCTGTAGCTCAAATGGTAGAGCGCTTGCCTTGAACTGAAAAGCTGAGGGACAGCGCCCAGGCCCAGAGTTCAAGCCCCATGACTCTCCTCCCCCAAAAACAAGCAAAAAAACCCCAAAACAACAACAACAACAGAAAACCCACACCGTTCTCTTTTCTAGAACCAAACAGACTAAAAATCAGCTCCGCTCCTCAATAATAATCAATGCCTTCGCTTCTTTGGGCTTGAGTTTCTCTCTCCTGAAAGGAAGGGGTGGGATACCCTCTGGGGTGGGGGGGACCCCCAGTCCCTGTGGCCCCCACGATCAGAAGCTTTCCCTGGGAGCCGCCCCAGGCCTCCCTGGGGTCCAGGCCTTCCCACCCTGGGCCCGTCCCAGGCTGGAGGCCCAGGTCCCCCGGTCCCCCGGGACCCCGCCGCTGGCTGCGGTTTCCCCAGGGGAACTCACCGCGCTCAGTGGAGCAGGAGACGGCAGCCGCGCGGGCCCCCAGGGGACTCTGCTTCTGTGACACCGTTCGCGCTGCCGGGCCACCGTGTGGCACCCCCAGCTCCCCGCCGTGGCCCCAGATCCACCAACCCCCAACAGCAGTGTGGGGAAGAAGGAAGCGAGAATGTGGTTACTCAGACTGGTCATGTGACAGCCCACACCCCCTTGTTTGTGACAGTTTGGGTGACAAAGTTGATCAAGAAGGGTGGGCAGCAAGACAAACAGACACCAGCCCGGCCTGCCATCGTTCTTGAACACACCAAGAACGTTCTGGAAACCATCTAGGGCCAAAGGCTCCTTAGGTAGCAGGAGGAACCAACGGATGGAACACTCCCCACCATACACACCCCAGAAGGGCTAGAGAATTACTCAGCAGTCAGGGAACCGTAGGGTGTAAAGGGGACCCTGCCTGGAAAAGGCAGGGGGGTGGGGGTGGGGAACAAATGAGGAAGAGGATGGGTCTCACGTCTCACCCAGGACTGGGCAGGAAGTAGAACGCACAAAGCACAGAGTTTCGTGAGGTTCACAAATAATGGTATAGTTTCTCGTTTAGACGTTATCTCTGGACTCACGTAGGTCCCCGAGCAGCCATGAAGAAGTTTCCTGGGCATCGGAGATACCGTGAGTCACCTTCACAATCCCGGTTACTAGGGAAGTGGAGATGGGGAAGATCTGAGCTGGAGTCAGCCCAGCACAATGTTAACAAGACCTCATCTCAACTAACAAGCTGGCCATGGGTGAATCTGTGAATAATCCCAGTGACACAAGAGGCTGGTATCAAACAAAAACTATCTAAAACCGGAGTCTAAATCCCATGACACCAACACACACACACACACACACACACACACACACACACACACACACACAGATTAGATTACAAATCCCACAGGTTCAGCTGAGATCTGCCGGTGTTATTTCCCTGGCCAGCTTTGCCACCCCAGGCTAGACACATGTGAGGGGGGGCTCTTGGCTCCCCTGTACCCCCTTGCACCCCAGGGAGGCAGGCTAGCAAGTAAACAAAAGGGCAGGCCATTACAACAGCCAGTGTGGCAAGCTGCCACCTTGGGATGAGCAGGGGAGGGGAGGGGAAGGGAGGGGAGGGAAGGGGAGGGAGGGAGTGCTGGCCCAGGGCTGGCTGGCCTGACAATTCCCAGAACAGGCTCTGAAGGGAAGGGATGGGGCCCAAGGCCAGGGGTCAGGACCCCGCCCCCCCCCACACACACACAGAGAAGGCTGCACTCCACCTGCACACAGCTCGTGTGAAAATGAAACCCAGCTGGGCCACGGCAGCTCACGCCTGTAATCCCAGCTGCTCAGGAAGCTGCGATCTGAAGCTCATCACGGTTCAAAGCCAATCTGGGGCAGGAAAGTCCATGAGACTCTTAACTCCAAAGAACCACCAAAAAAAGCCAGAAGAAGAGTTGTGGCTCCAAGTGGTGGTAGAGCACTAGCCTTGAGTGAAAAAGCTCAGGGACAACGCCCAGGCCCTGAGTTCAAGCCCTATGACCACCAACACCACCACCACAACAAAACAGAAGCAAGTGAGTGAGCAGAGACAGAGGCAGGATTGGAACCCAAACCCTTGATCATCTTCACTCCCAGCCTGTGAGTGTGCAGGCTGACTGGAGGGAAAAGTGACACTGGCTATTCTTTGCATATCAGCAGGCTTTACATTATTATTATTATTGCCGCCGCTGCTGCTGTTGTTGTTGTTTGCTGCTGCTGCTAGGGGTGAACCCAGACCCTCGTGTGTGCCAGGCAGACTCTAGCTCTGAGCCGCACCCCAGCCAGGCTGGTTCTCTCTTCATGTAAGGGACAAGGCACCTCTCCACTGCAGGTCAGACGTGAGCCTCTCCGCCTATCCTTGAGGGGATGTCACAGTCACAAAGACTCCGGTTTGTCACTGTGAAGGCCGTGACACAGCATCGTCACTGCACCTGGCGCCTGCGAGACACCAGCGTTCCGCGTGAACGGACTTCTCCTTCTAGAAATGCAACCC